CGCTTGACTGATGATGGATAAAACTGGACAAATAGGTCAAAAATAAAGGAGTAAGTTGACAAAGGTTTCATATGCAAATGACTGTGCTAATAAATTAATAAGTTTCAAATTCTTTCAAGAATTGAACATACTCTTTTGTTTTGTTTTGTTTTGTTTTTCATCAGGCAGGATGAAATTTATTGAATGAATATAGCATTAACAGGTTTTCTTTGTAACCATATTTATATAACCATATTAACTTGTACCAATTGTGACCCTGAAATTATTTATAGGATAGTTAGACAAGGAAGTTGTTAAATGTACTATAACATATAGGTATGCTTCTGCTACACATACTTAGCAATGACACAAATAATTTTTGATTATTAAAAGTAACTCAGAAGAATTTTTATTTTTTAAATTTTTTTTAGTCATACATGACAGCAGAATGTATTTTGACATATAATACATACATGGAATGTACATACATCAATCATATTGTCTGTTCTATTCTGCTGCCCTTCCTATCCTCCCTACTCCTCTCCTCCTCTCCCATCCTTTCTCTATCTAAAGAATTGGACATACTCTTGGGGCAAAAGAGAGCAAGTTCATCAATTGACAAATTGGCCCAGATTATATCCTAAATATGTGGATTTATTTCAAACTAAATAAGATATATGTCTAAATGTTTGGGTCCTCTCAAAATTCTTAGGTTGAAAACCTAATCACCAATGTTATACAATTAGGTGCGGCTTCTGGGAGTTGATAGCTCTTGGGGACTGGGGCTCAGGAATGTGATTAAGGTCCCTCTAGGGATCTTAGAGAGTGGCCTTGCTCTGTAACACCTTGTGAAGTCACAAGTTCTTCACAAGAGGAAAGAGAGGTCAGTGGTGCCTTGATCTTGGACTGCTTTGTCTCCATAGGTTTTAGAAAATATTTGTGTTTATAAGCCACCCAGTTTATGGTATTTTGTTAAAGTATCCTGAACATACTAAGACAAGGACTTTTCTGCATGATAATAAGAACTCTTTCACTAAACAAGGGTAAAACTTTCACAGCAGCTGAAACAAGCTCAAATAAAATATAGACAGACATCTGTTTCTATTTTTTGTACTCAATGAACATTTTAAATACGAGAAGCCTGACTCCAGATGCTGCCCACTGTTGACAGACACTGTACCCTGCAACTTGCTTTCCACCAGGAGACTCAAAGCAGAGGATGACTCTTCTTGGCATCCAGAGCCTTTGCAATCATGGGTATTTTACTGTGAGCCCATCTTCTTAGTACCGGGCTATAATTTGTTGATCATTCACATGTTTTAAAGTTATTAATACCAGTTGTTCACTTTCTGAAATATTCTACACACAAAACATGTTACTAAAAGAAGTAAAAATGTTTTACGATTGTAGAACTATGTTCAATGAATTTTAATTCCCATTAAAAATTACATCCCTAGAGTATATATCAGGGATGGAAATTAGATAATGTCCATTTTTTTTTCTTGTTGGATAAAACTAGAAGCTTTATTCAGATTTTAAGCAATAACTACACTAAGCACATTGAATCTTAAAAACCTCAAATTATATTATAATCTCTAAAATGTAAGAGGAGAGAACAATCAGAACAGATTTTATACAGTTTCTTCTTGTTGAAGAAAAGAAAATTTAGATTCAAAGATGCATCAATCAGGGACAAATTGGGTGACAGAAACCACACAATGACTTCAATAAGAGAAGAGGTAAATAAATACTTATAAGTCCATAATAATAATTTAAAATACCTCTACAGTATGAGCCCGGGTTGAGAGAAAGCCATAGGGGAAGGCGTGTGCTTCCCCACGGGTAGTGTGCAGAGCCCGCTGCAGAAGGCAAGGCTGCACCAGGGGTGGATCCAAAGGTCCTGGGCTGCCCAGGCCAGCACATGTCTGCAGAGAGGGGACAAGCAGATGGAGGGCAGGTGTGGGGGTGTGGAGAAGATGAGGTGCCACCGTGGACAAGAGCTGGAACACCTGTTTTCTGAGAGGAGGCCCCAGAAGGCAAACCTCTGGAGGGCTGGGTGGGCAGAGGTAATGGGGTGTTGGTCAGGAAAAGGCCTGTGGAAGGCCATCGAGAGGTGAACACCAGGCAAGATTGGGGCTGGGAGGTCAGCAAAAGACAAAGACGGTGCGTTGGTTGCTGGGCTGCTGCAGTGTGCCCCCAGAGATGGCCTCACATGCACAGCATCTATGCCAACTGCAGGAGAAGCCTCTCTCTCCTTCAGTGTCCCTTAAGTAGCCTTTATTGAGAAAGTTTAGCATCATGCTGTCTGCAAAAGAAAAATTCTTGACCAGGAAGAGTTACTGAGCCCCTGAGCAACTGAATTCCTCATTTTCAGTTTCAAAGTGACCCATTCAGAGTTCTGTTTTAGCAGTTTGCATAAGCTCCATGAGGGCAGGATCTGAATGTCAGACATCTTGGCACCCCAGATCCAACAAGAGACCTTAGAAATTCTAAAGGTAGCAGGTGTGGTAGTACACACCTGATCCCAATGGCTCAGGAGGCTGAGGCAGGAGGATCACAAGTTCAAAGCTAGTCTAAGCAAAAGCAAGGCACTAAGCAACTCGGTGAGACCCTGTCTCTAAGTAAAATACACAACAGGGCTGGGATGTGGCTCAGTGGTTGAGATCCCCTGAGTTCAATACCTGATCCCCCACCCCAGCCTATAAAAAAAATTCAAAATAAAATAAAAAATGATCTAATAGCAGTTTTTCTGATAAGGCCCAGTTGTTCTTACAAAAATCAAAATTTCCCTTCCCACCAATGCATGCCTTTTCATAAAATCAGAGTATTTTACAGACAATTCTTAAAGACCATGCCATCTCTGACACCCCAGAGGTGCTTCTGTGCAGAATTCCTTACTCTGTCAGTTATATGTTGTAGAACTGAGCACCAGTCGCATTGCCATTATGCTCAGAACCCTGGGAACTGACTACACTCCAGAGGAGTCGCTGCACAGCTGTGAATCCCACCCGTCCTCAGACCCCAGGCTGCTGAGCTGCTGAGCCATCTGCCGTTCACCTTAGAGACGAGCATGCCGCACTTTGCCTGTAATTTGTACTCCTGGCATTTGCAGCAGAGTTCACTCACCCTCCCTCCCCACAGCAGCGGTGTCTCATTCACAGTAAATAAATCAGAGGTAAAAGCAGAAAACTAGGGAATTGTTCAGCAGATGGCTCGGGATCCTCAGCTGTACCGTTGCTGATCTAGGAGACTAACATTTTTGTACCACAAGATAAGTATCAAATTATATACAAATGGGACTGGAGAATGCATAAACTACGGTGGATTCTCAGACATCGAGTGAATTGTTTTCTTTTTTGGTTCTTTCTAATGTATGGTGTTGGCAGGAAAAGTTTGACATGTTTTACAAATAATACTCTGTTTAAGCAGTGAAGGCACCAAAAAAACAGAGCTCATTTAGATAGCGCTGACGAAAAAGGTTGGTGTTCAAATTGTCTGACCATGGGGAGAAAATAATAGGATAATGGAGCTCAAACCTAAGTCCAGCCCATACTGTGATTATTAATTTACAGAAAAATGTTTGAACAAGTACCATGGCATCTTTTCCAAGGTCAAGGCATCTGGAGGTGGAGCTGGGGAGCCTTCCTTACACAGGACGATGCCAGCAGAGAAGGATGAATTTGTGAATGGGGATGTGCAAAAGACCTTGCTTTTATTAAAACTTCAAAGTGATTCCAGAGAAAATGGCCCATAGTGTTCATATGAGGACCTAAGGATGACAGGCAATAGATCAGGGTTTCTCAAATTTGGTAGTATTGACACTTTAGCCCAGATATTTCTTTGCAGAGTATGGATTGGGGTCCACCCTGCACTTTTCGAGATGCTTAGCAGCAGAGACAGGCAATAAACCCCCAGTCGAGACAACCTAGCTTTCCACAGGCATTGACAGATGTTTTCTGGAAGACCTCTCCATCCATAACACTGCAGCAGATCCCACTCATGCATTGCTTTCCCTTTGGATACTAAATCTTAATGTTGACAAATATGCAGAAGTGAGCATTCCAAAGCCTTCAACTCCAGCTTTATAGGGCAGATGAAGAAATCAGATCCCAATTTAATTACTTAAACTGAAAAATCACAATGGCGTGACCCCCCCTGGACCTCTGATGTGGCTGATCCGTGCATTCTCCCCGTCCCATAGTCGACATGAAGCCACGTTTTACCACAGGATGTTTGGTGAGGAGCCTGCCTTCAGAGCAAGGGGGTGAGATGGATCATCTGGTAGTTTTCGTCATGGGGTCAAGAGGGTCAGGGTTGCCCCTTCTTTCTCCAGAGGCTGCTCAGGCTGCCTGGTTAGAGTAGCATGTCCCTGTGTGGTGCTGAAGCCACAACAACAAATCCTTTGTCTTTGTCCTTTTCCTATGTTTCCAGAAGTCTGAAAGCTCCCTGCTTATGTTTGTATATCAGCCTCCAAAACTATGGGTTCTGCATTGGGCCCGACCAACTGTATACAAAATTGCCTCTGTATTGAACACATACAAAGTTTTCTTGTCACTATTCCCTAAGCAATACAGGGTAACAACTATTTATACACTTGTATCATGAGAGGTGATTTAAAATATAGGAGAGGATGTGTGGGGGTTATATGAAAATACTACATATATTTATATAAACGACTTGAGCATCCATGGATCTGGGTATCTGCAGTGGTCCTGAAACCAATCCTTTGCAAATAACAAGTGATAAGTGCATAATTTTAGTAAAATCCCATTTATTAAACAGATTTATTGATTACAATTCTACCCATGGCTTGGGTTTTCTACAGCTTAGTATTTGGATTTTGAAAGATACCCCATTGTGAAAATTGTTACTATTCCAAAAACTCAGTGATGCACAGCTTTGTGCATCTGTCTTATGTTCTCACACTTCTATATCTGAAGGAGATTCTGAAATGTGGAGTGACTGAGTCAAGAGCAATGTGAATTTTCTATAATGGAGCTAATGAAAGTGCCAGGGATGCTGATGATGATGGTGACGGTGATGATGTCAATAAGAACACACCACCATTGTTTCCCATGGGATGGCAAAACCACTGTGCCCCGGGTGACACAGCTGACACTTGCCTAGGAAGGGATGAAGTGTGACTGCCCCATTCCAGCTACCTGGTAAGAATCCCGTGTTCCTTCCACCTCCACCAAAACACAGCCTTACTGCCATCTACCCTGAGAACCTCCATTTCCTCATCCACCTTCCACCCATGAATGCTGATTCTCTTGCTTCTTTGCTATAAGATCTTCTGATGATTACCTACTGCTTCCAGGAAAAGCCCTCGATTTTTAACATGATATTGCAACCTTTGTGCACTGACATCTTTTATGAATTTACTTACTCCCTCCACCCCTTCTGATGCTCCGTGTGTCCTGAAGTTCCCTGGATGGGTCCCACTCCTCTACCCCACATACTTGCATCCATGCTGATGGCAGTGTCCCTCCTGTTGTCCCAATGATTGAACTGGTTCATAATTCTGTGCAAGTTCATTAAATAGGACTTTGAGAGGCAGCATATTAAGTGTGGAGATGGTGAGACTCAGCACAATTGCTTGTTTTTCCCTCCCTAATGATGTGATCATGGACAAATTGTTTTACACCATTATGCTTCAGATTTCCCATATATAAAATGAAAATAATAAGAGGTCCTACTTAACAGAGTCACTATACGACTATTACTTAACATGTGTACCATGTATACAGGAAATGCTCTATAAGTGCTGCTGCCATTGTTGTCTTTTGCATAATAATTAATGAATGATATTCATGTAAATTTATGCATCTGCATGTACCTAGTACGTGGTATGTGTGTCATGAATGTGTTTGAAGGTGGGACTGAACCTCCACTGGAGAAGGTTCTCGGGAAACAACAAGCTATGGCAATAACAGTGTGCTCCCCAGTGAAGACCATGGGAGCCAGAAAGCTCCAAACCTTGAGTCGTTCTCATCACCCTATAGACTATGGAATGTTCCACCTTATGGTTCTCGATAAGAAAACTTAAATGTTAAAAATTGTAAACCTAAAAATTGGAAAACAAAAATGTCTTGAAAATGGTGCATTTTTCTCTTAATAACAAAAATGTGTCACGTTAACACTGGTCTCATTCATTTCAAAATGTCATGTGGAAAGGGGGAGGAATGGAGGAGAGGGCTTGGACAGTCGGGGCCACTGTACAGTGCCCTGTCTCTTGGCCGTGAGCCCATTGTCTGTCCTTGGATGAACGCTCTGGCCAAGCCTTGGTCTCCTCCTGTTAATTTCAGGAATAATTTTTATTTTACAGATTCTACTGAGGAATTCAAAGAATTAGATGAGTTAATGGATTCAGCTCCACTGTGCAAAGTAAAAAGGATCTTGTAAATGCGAGGGGTTGTGAGTGGAGAAAACTTGGACTGAGGTCAAGGGAATTCCTGCTCCATTTACTAGACTTGCCTCTGGTCAAGTCTGTCAGGCTGAAACGACCCTCAGACATAGACCATCCCCAGTTCTGACACTTTCTGTCTAGTTTCTTTTTTTTTCTTTTTCCTTTCCCAATGAACCTAAATAAGACACTGTGTTCTCTGACAGGAAGAAGAAACACTTAGCCCCTCTGTTTCCCTGAATACCCAGATGGATGGTTACAACTTGAGAATGACTTCAGCCCCTGGCAAGATCATTTCATACTGTTCAGAATCCGCTCTACCCCCCGCAGGGCAGAGGAAAAAAATAGCTCTTTCTGTTTTTCCCTCAAGGTGAGAAATCATAAAATGAAGATAGAGACAGAATAACACCACTAGAAAAATACAGGCAAGAGCTTGGGGACTCTCAGCCTGACAATTTAGCTTTAGAGATGAAGTGGGAGAAGGACACTAGGTGGTGGTTGTCTTGAGAAGAGGGAGGAAGGAATGAGCGGAGGTGACAGAGTGGGGGAGACAGCCACCTGGATCGCTGTGCCCAGACCCCTGTGTGAGCCTAGGGAGGTTTGACTGTGGAATCCGTCAGTCATGGCAGGAGGGGCCTGGCAGAAAGTAAGAACACGCTGAGGGAGGATGGTATGATGGGAAGCAGAGTATCTTTGAAGACAGAAGCCCTGGGTTTGTTATTTATTTTATGCATTCAGTAAAGCATTATGGAGAGCTCACTAGGAGTCAGGCATGGTGGTGGTGCTGGGGACACAGAGGCTAATATGATCAGGTCCATGGAATGAAGGAACATCCAGTCTCCTGGGAAGCAGATTCTACAGCAGCCTGCTCTGATAAGTCCTGCGAGGTCTACAGAGTTGGGCAGGTCAGAAGGTGCAGAAGCAGCAGTGGCAAAGACTGTGTCTGAATCTGAAATGTGAGTAGGTTTTGATCTCAATGAACATGTTCCAAAAGAGACTCTGGAAGTATAGCACAGAATGAGCAAAGCCACGGTACTAACAAACAGCACAAGACACACGAGGACGATGGCAGATTCACAGCATTGAAGTGTCGTGGTGTGAACTAATAAATACAATCAGTAGGAGTGTAAGTATAGGTTATAGATTAGTAAAAATATAGCTTATAGATATGATAAGTGAGGTAAGACAATCATAAAGCAAGAACCGTCATAGACAAGGCTAAGACTCCACTTTGCTTCCTTCTGTAAAAAAACTGTTACAAGAGCTGCTTCTGAGAAACCGAAATGAAAGCTGTTTTCTTATATTGTTTTCTGTACTTTGTACCCCACAAAATGTACTCAACCCAAGTTATGGTGGTCTTGGTGACCCAAAACTTGGAAGTAGATTCCCGCCCCTGCTAACCACTTGCTGGAACTCGGGATACAGTTGTTTAACACCTGCTTGGACTAAGATGTGCTTAACTGAGTTTCATAGCTGACTGCTTTTCTCTAGCTTCCGTGATTGGCTTGCTTGCACTAAGGAAAGGCCCTGAGTTATGGTTTTCGTCTTTAAGTTCCCAGGACACAGGCCAGGAAGTTGCTGTTCTCCCACAGAGCTTTAGTCTCTATGGGTGGGTGAAATCCCTGGCCAGGCAAATAAAGCTCTCAGTGACTTAAATTGGGACTTAGAGTGTTTTCTGAAGCGCTTTCTCATAACAGAAGAGCAAAGCGCACAGCAGAGTCCGACAGAATTGCAACCACACCAGCAGAAACCTGGAATTTACATGATTTCAGATTCTTATTTGAGGTTTCCCTTAAATGTCAGAGATCCCTTGTTCCTAAGAAACACATAGTCTTAATGGATAAATGAAGAGAGGAAAGGAAAGCATCAAATTTCCCTTCCAACCTACTACAAGGCTCTCATTTTGTCCAGTGCACACACAAAAAAAAGTAAACTGAAAATTATTATGGACAAGAATTTCAGCCCAGCATTGTCATACATCCTCTGTCACCTCCAATGAGCCCACAGCCTGTGGCTCCACCAAGGGACATCCATTGCCCAGTTCCCACCTCCTCTCTACAGAAAACTCCTTGTTATCTACAGTTAGCTCAGAGGCATCATTTATATTGTATTACATCATTATATCATTTTATTGTATTATTCTTTTTTTTAAAGAGAGAGGAGAGAGAGAGAGAGAATTTTTTAATATTTATTTTTTAGTTTTTGGTGAACGCAACATCTTTGTTTGTATGTGGTGCTGAGGATCCAACCCGGGCCGCACGCATGCCAGGCGAGCGCACTACCCCTTGAGCCACATCCCCAGCCCTATTGTATTATTCTAATGAGCTGCAAATTATACAGTGTATGAATAAAAGTCAAGTGCTCTACACTTTCAGTTTCTTGGCTTCAGTTTCCTTATATTAAATGATTATTATAAAACTAGGAAATAAAGCCAGCCAGTCAACCTGTACACACAAGAACGTGGGGAGTAGACACTCAAATCAGCGGCGATTGTCCTAAGGTTTGGGCTAGAAGAAGTCGGGGGAAGCTTGACCCTTTACAGCTGCGATCACACATTGGAGCTCCAGGAAGGACGGTCCTCGTTTCCACACTGCTCCCCTCTTCCTGAGCCAAACAAACTTGGCTGCACAGTCTGTTCTAACGTGGGCAAAGGTGTTTGGGCTTCACTTTTCATTTCAGTCCTTCACTTCTCAGAATCTGCCTCCACATTCCAAACTGTTATGTTCATTTCTCACCTCAACGTTTGAAAAATATCAGAGCATATCCATTTCTAGTTTCACACATGAAATTGTTCATGGCAACTAGCTCTGCTGCTTCTTGGAACATGGTTATGATTCACTCTTCTGAAACTTAGCCAAAAGTATTGGAAATACTGAAAAGTTACCATCCAGGGAGTTTTGAAAACATAGACTGGTCGTGACGCCATTTTGTTTTATTAGAGTGACTATGGTCAGACAGACCCTGAGCATTTTAGGGAGAGGGCATGCTTCTTACTGAGCCCTGAGCCCTGTGTTTCTTCACTCTGCTTGGATTTTGACTAATATGAACTTAAAAAAGGAAATCTCCCACCTGAAATGTTTACATATTACTCACAAGATATTCAGAGTAATACATCTCATGTATGAGAAACCTGAGTACCAACCAGTGTGGTGGGGGTCTGAAGAATGAGGACTGACTGGAATCTAGGGCAGACACTGAGGCTGTGTACTAAATGGGAGGTAGTGGAGGAAGAGCATTCCAAGGCTCCCTACCAGCCACACCCAGCACATGCCAGGTGCCCTTGACAGGGATTCAGTGATGAACCAGACAGCGAAGGCCTCCATCCTAGTGGGCTACAGTACTCATCCATTGACTCCTAACGGTTTTTAGGTGCTTGGTGAATTGTTATGGTTTGGATACAAAGTGTCCCTGCAAAGTTCCCGTGTTACACAGGAATGTTGGAAGGTGAAATGATTAAATGATGAGAGCTGGGACCCAATCAGTCCATCCTAACGGGTGGCAGGTGGGCCATGCCTGCAGGTCGTGGGTCACCGCAGGCTACCCTGGAAGGGCTTTTCCTCCTGGGGCCCCTTCCCTTTCCCTCTCGGCTTCCTGCTGCCAAGAGACCAGCTCCTCTGCCTGGATGCTCTGCCTCCCCTGGGCCCTGAGCAGGGAGTCAGCCCACCATGGAAGACACCTCGGAACCCAAGAGCCAAACTTCCCTTCCTCTCAAATGTGCTTGCTGGGGAGTGTGATCACAGTCGTGGAAAACTAACTTAACTGTGAGTCTGACCGAGATAAGTAGAAGTGAGTTAGAAATGACTCATGTCCTTTGGATTCTTTGGATTCCCCTCTTTTGCCCAAAATGAGGTCCAAAATATTTAATTTGGATAAACCAACTGATTGAGTTGGAGAAAGAAAATGACATGTTTGTAAATGTGACTTCTCATTCATCATTATTCAAAATCACAGTGAACATTTTTTTCCATGGGAAGGCAGTGAAAACTTTTAAAATCAAAGCTACGGAAGCATCTTCTGTAACCCAAGATATGTCACAAGACCTGCCCACCTCGAGTGCAGATTAGCCCCAGGTCTTTTCCAGTCTTTTGTGTTTTACTCACATCTAATGATGTTCACAGTCACACCCCATCTTCCTCAGGAAAAAGAGTTAAGAGGACAAAAATGCCACATCTGGAGCACAATGAACCTCAAACCAGTGAGGGGGTGGGAAACAGAACCAGGGAACACACAGGTAAAGGGCACCAAGATACCAGCCACCAGCAGAGACTCTTCTGCATGAAGAACCTTAAATATCTTTGGCATTTTTTAAGAATGTGAACGTCATAATTGATGAAAGTCTCTCATCTACTCCCAGGCCACACTGAGGAGTACAGGGGGTTCCCAGATTAAATGCTTTGCACAGACTGGGGTGTGCTAGGAATCGAAAACCGCAGCAGTGCCATCCCTCCTGGGCATTCCCATCTCTCTGGTCCACACCTGGGGCGGGGCATGGACTAGGGCTCTGTCCTCAGCATGTCAGGATTGGAAAGGAAACTATTCTTGTCCCTGGTGTGGGGCTCCACCCAGGAAACTTCATCAACATGTAGATCCTGCCTTCTCCAGAGCGCTCCAGCCCTGGGAGTTACTGCCGAGCACCCAACTGGCCACCCAACAGCACTGGGTTGGGCAGCAGGCAGAGAGTGTCCCCAGAGCAGCTGGTGCTATGGCTGCCAGGACAAAGACCCAAGGGCCAGGCTCTGATTGAAGTGCATCAGCAAGTGTCTGTGGAGTTTCTAGCCTGGGCCATGGAGATGGCCGTCCTGAGGGCGGGGAGAAGTGCAGCAGGTCTGCTCTGCAGCCATCAGGCGTCAAGGGTTTGTCCCAGAGCATGCATTCCCTGACCTTGTGTGCCTATTATCTTTTTGTGTTTCTATTCATCAGGTTCTTCCAGTTGAGTACTATGAACAAAGTATTCTGCTAAGCCCCAAAAGAATAAGAAAAGGGTAGTGTTTTCTCTTGAAGAGGTTTCAGTTTGTTGGAAATGACACCAAGTTAAAGAATAAACTCTAGCAGCATGTGATCAAATTAAGAATGAAATCTTCCAGCAGGTACCCCCTTGATTCAAGGGGTTTGTTCTAGGAACTTTTCTATAAAAATTATCAAAGTTAAGAATCCAGTACCAGCCTTCTTTGCCAATGCAATAGACTTCATTGTTTAATAACCAGTGATTTTTTTTAAAAATAAAGAGGGATGGAGTATAGCAATTCAGTGGTGGAACACTTGCCTAGCATTCACAAGGCCCTGGCATTGATGTTCAGCAACATAAAACAAGTAGATAGACAGATAGATAGCTTGAGAGATCATGTCTATTTATTTTAATTTAAAAACTTGAGTGCCTACCATATTGTCAATCTTGCACAATGTGCAGGACAGCCTGCTGGTCGTCATCTTCTTCCCACAGGTAATGAGCCCTCTTTGCCACACCTAGTACCACTAAAGGAAAGTAGGTCTGGCATTGTTATCACCTGTCCCAGACAAGGGCCTTACACCCCTCAATCCATACGCAACACCTGCACAGCCACACAGTGGGTAACACAGGGAAGCTAGCCAGACCTGTGCTGATTCCATTCTGTGTCCATCCTACATAAGCCTGGAGGGGGCTGGTGGTGGCGTAAACTTCTAGTGTTGAACCAGCACAGGTTATTAAGCATCTACTTGAAGCTAAGCAGTTGGTTTTCTCTGGGGCCGGGCAGGTGGACAAAGCACACAGTGTGCCTGCCTTCAGGGAAGCAGCCCTCCTGCAGGATAGAGGCACCCCACATTGAGGAGGGTGAGGGGTGTCCTGAGGGGCAACACACCACCAGGGCTGACTCAGACATGACTACACGCAGGCCACCTCCACCCCAGCCTCAGCACACACGCTCCTCCAGAGGAAAGCTAAACAAAGAAATTTCTCTGCATCAAGAAAGAGGAATATTTAAATTTATATAAATGTATTTTTAGATAAAAAAATAATTTTAAAAGCACTTTGAGACACACCAAGAACAATGGAATGGCCTAAGTTTCGATTGCTAGTAAGCAGCAGATTCACAATCTGGACCTGAGTCTTTCCCCAGGGGATGACCCTTGCTCTCATTTGAACGTGCTCTTGAACAGTCCTCTTTGAACAGTCCTCTCCCGCAAGGGCGTCTGTGTGTGGTGTCTGGGTGAGAACACAGGTCCTATCATGGACTGAGTCACCGTTCATTGTCACTATGCTTCTCGGCATTCCAGTTTACAATTCCACAAGAGGGATGTTTGAAATATCTATCCCAAGACGCCCACCTGCTGCAAAAGCCTTCCGGTCGAGACTTACCTCAGTAAATAGCATTTATAGTATCTCCACTTGCTTTTATTTTTCTGTGGAAAGTAAAATGAGGACAGACTTAGGAGACGTGGAATCTCACCAGCTCCATCACGGAAGTCGGATGTCATTTCACCCACTCAGTGTTCAAGAAGGAGGCGTCTGTCACCCACCCGTTCATGCAGGTGGTCAATGGACGAGCATTCATTGCACCTCTTGGAAGCTGGGCAGGGTTCTGGGCCTGTATTCATTTATCTTTGCGATGGGGAGCATAATAGGGCTTCTTCAAAAATGTACTGCCTAAATGGGAAAATAAAGTGCAAGTAAGCCTTCT